GTCTGCGGCTCCCAGTGCACCTTTCACCTGCCGTTTCGACCCTCGCCCGTCGCTACAGGACTTTTTGCATGTGGGTAAAGCCTTCAAGCCTGCACAATGGATTTTTAGGTGAGATGCAGTATGCGCGGAACTGAACCCACCCTTTAATCCTGAGGTTCATCTGCCAGGGCCGAGCGAGCTTGGACGGTGGCAGCAAGGTCCTCAGGACGTAGGTTTGATTAGAATGACCTTCTCTTAGATGGATGCCTTACGGGGCTAAGCGAGCTCCATCTGCCCGGGTTTGAGATTAGAGTTGTCCTTCTCCTAGGATGACTGCCAGAAGTCTAACGAGCTCATCCTGCCCACAGATGTATTGTGTCTGACCCTGCTGTTTTGACCTGTCTGGCATGGGCAACCCTACCGAAAGCGTGTACCATCACCAGCATAGCTCGCAACGACATAGGGGTACACAGGCGTTCCTGTTAGAACAGTTTGGCCAAGTCTTTCATTACTTTACTATAACCTATTTATATACAATCATAAGGAGATACCCAGGAACAACCCTTTGTCCTGCCCACTCTTTCAGGACATAACAGAGCAAAGCAAATATATCCAGAACATGCCAAACCTGGGCAGTAGCCACAGGTGAGCCAAAAACAAACAGACAAACAAACTGACCAACCGTTCTGGCCCCCGTACATATCCAAGGCTGGGGTGCCTTTCAAGGCCCCAGCTTGGCTGGGACCCTCATCATTCTAAAGGAACCCCACTATCCACCCTGACCATATCCTTCCTCCACTGTGTTGCCACGTATCTTCAGGCACACTGCTCACCTGTGATGCTTCATACAGGAGTGCCCTGCTCTCCCTCCTGCCAATCAGAGGACCCCCATGGCCCACACGATACCCCTCCCCTCTCTTCCCCCCCCCCACTCCCCTGTACCCCCCTCCCATCCCCTGTACCTCCCCTCCCCCTTCCCCCCCGAAACCTGGAATGGCAAACCTCTGTGTGCTCAGAAGCTGCTCTCTCCTCCATGGGCGTGCAGCAACTGCTGGCAAGGCTCCCCCACTCTCTCTCTCCACTCTCCTGTCGCGGCCGTGCCTGGGGCCTGAACCGCCAGGGGGGGACTCCCGGGGGACTCCCAGCCAGCCCAGGACCCACCACTCACACGCGGCGTGGGGGGGGCTCCCGGGGGACTCTTTCTATTGTAAGTGTGTAATGATTTACTATGTAAATGATGTGGTGGGTCTGGCTGAGCCGGAATTTATTTCCCCGTAGTAGCTCTGCACTGGTAGCTAGAGGAGTGTTGATAACACATCCATGTTTTGGCTACTGCTGAGCACAGCACTGTAACATTCAATTGTGGGCGAGCTCCTGGGAGGGGACACAAGTAGGCCAGCTGACCCACACTGACCAAGGGGATATTCCATACCATATGACGTCAACCCGGATATAAAAGCTGAGGCAAGGAGCAGGACCGGAGGCACTCACTGTCTCTGATGGCTGCCTGCTGACAACAGCTATGTGTGCTGGAGCCCTGCGTCTCAGAGAAGTGGCCGACCATCGCTGCTATGGGACGTAGAGATTAACTGCTGGCTTCTGCTTTGTGCGCGCGCACGCTGCTTTTGCTTTCTTTTTTTTGCATCAATATAAACTGCCTTATCGTAACCCACAACTTGTGTTGTTTTCTTTTCCCACCTTACTCTGTCCCCTGTCCGGCTGGGAAGGGGAGGGATAGAGCGTCTGGGTGGGCACCTGGCGTTCAGCCAAGGTGAACGCACCACAAAAGACTATGACTAAAATTACTTGGTAACTTTCCCCTGCTATTACATTGTTGTGAGGACTGATTTCTCTGGATGAGATGTTTACAGGCTTTGAAAAAGATGTAATTTTAAAATTCTGCAGTAGAATAAGGATTAATTTTATCAGAGAAATGGAAGCATTTGTCTTCCAGTGCCTTTTGTCAGGCACAGGAGATCAGATATACAGTGTAGATATGCAAAAAGTGTAGTGCATGTGCATTACATTCTGGCATCCACTTGTGGAGTTACACATGTACTGTGTGCTGGGAAGAGGTCTTGCAATTATACTGTACTTACATACAGGCTTTGCCTGAGACAAACTCCTGCTAAGCTCAGTGGGAGTTCTTCAATTGATTACCTCAGAAATCTGATTGGCACGTATAATTACATCATCAGTGGCACGTTCATACTTGAAGAGTTTACTGTTCATCAGTCAATTATTTCAGTAAAGGCAGTTTTTCCATGATCTGGTTGTACTGGTGAGCTTTTATATCAATACTGCTGTACCATGCAGAAATCACAAAAGGACCTTTGCTTACAAACTGTCATAAAGTGAAGAAATAGGTTGCAGCTATATAAAAAGCTAAGTAGCACTAGGGAGCATCCCTCAGCATTGGAACTCAGTTGTCTGTACCATAAAATTCTTAAAATTCTCACTGGCATTGTTTTGTCTTGGGTCAATTAACACTTTCCCTACCAGTTCCCAGAGCTAGCATGGGCCACAGGCCATTTCCAGTAGGTGGTCTGCATATGACCATCCTGTTTTAGAGAAAAAAGAGTTTAGGAGTAGGGACACAGGTCCCATGATGGTTGGCCTCAGTGCCAGAGCCAACACTCAGGCACATTTAATTCACTATCGCAGACACTGACACAAATATTTAGGGCACTTTATGGAAAAAGCTTCTGACAGTATTGAAACAAGTTTATTTCTTACTCAAAACTATTTCCAAACTCTCTTTCTTGTTTCGCACTTGACAGCTCACTTTGTAGAGCCCTGCTGCTATGCAATGTTCCAGCCTCCATCAGCAACAGCTGTACCATTGCTGGAATGACAATATTTACACAAGAAAGAGGTTTCTTAAGGGTATGGTTAAAAAAATGCAAATTGAATCTTTTTTTGACTTGTTTGTTAATATTCAAAATTGTTTTTAAAGTTTAGTGAACAAGGAAATCACTACTCTCCCTTTCAAGAAATCTCTAGAAAACTGCATGAAACAAGGAGAAAACAAGCATGATTTTGCAGTGAAAGAAATGCTTAGCAAACGCACCTTTTCTGGCCAATCTAAGTTTCAAGAGGTCTTTGGAAGTCTCTCTGAATTCTTCCACTATATGCAGCCCACATTAAAGAACGGGGTGTTGGGCAGAGAGAAGGAGAGCAGTGATCCCTTGGGAGAGATCCTGAGCCACTGCTGCCTTCCCTGGCCCCTTCCTCTGCTCTGGATGTGTGGCCAGCTGTGTCTTCGAGATGCCCACCAGCAACAGAGAGATTTATTCCTAGAGACCCTGACACTTAAGTGTGCTCTCACTTTCCAAGTAATTACAGAGAAGCTGCAATGCTTGCTCAGCCAAACACAAATGAATAATTACCTATGCTTTTCTTTTACAGTGTGTTTTAAGTCTACAGATATTTCACTCTGTTCTCAGGTGGAGAATGAAATAATTGCATTGTTGCTATGGAGCAGATATGTAGGTTCCTAATTTTTTTAAACTTTGTACTACAAAGCAGCCTATTAAAAAATCAGAAGCACAGATCCACATGGCAGAATATTATTTTTAATGGCTTCTTTTTAGTTGCTTTCTTTTTATCCCTAGAGGTTGGATCTTTCACTTTAGAAGAAATCTTTGTTTATGCTTTATCTGAAAGCTGATATTTTTACATAATCATATGACTTTGGGAGCCAGAGTCTTTGAGAAAGAGACAAAGAAAATTCTGGTAAAAATAATGACAACTGTCAAGGCAATGTAGGAAGCTTCCAGATCTTCTAAGGCTTTCCAAGGTACTAATAATACTATTATAGTACAATAGTAAGTAATATGATAGTATATGCGGTAGAGTACACACTGTATTTTACTAGGATTTTAACTATACCATTATCTAGAATGGTAAGAATGGCTTTAGACTTTGTTCCAGTATCAGTTAACAGTTTTTTGTTACAAAGGTGTGTTTCCTTTTCATTACAGTAATTAATGCTGGCTGCAGTGAAAGGAGAGAAATACCTCCCGAGACACTTCTAATAGCCATCTCTGCACCAGCTCTTAACATTATTGCATGTGTAAAAAATGCGGCATGAGATGTTCTCACTTCAAACAGTCGTGATCAGTGGTTTTGACACCGATGTGACACATTTGCTCTGAAGATGTGAATCTGAGTGGCAGGAGGTTTGAGCTTTTCAAAAGAGCAGACCTTGCTGTAGACAAGGTCTGTCTGGTTGCACGGCTGGGACTGATCAGCCCGTGATGTCTGACTGAAGACAAAGCCACAAACACATGGTCTTTGAAACAGCCGGCAAGGAACAATGACTTCATACGAAACATGCCCCATGCGCAAGAATTTGGTTTTGAATGGTGGGTAACGGTTTTTATGTGGCCCTGCTCTATGTTTCGGCCCAGTTTGCATAAACTGACTCTTTCCTGCAACATATGAAATAAGTTTCACTGCAGTGCCTGGTCTTCCCCTTACTGCATTTTTTAAAAAATGAAATTAAACACTGGGCCCTATTCAGCTGAAAATAACCACCGCAGCTGGTACTGCCTGAGCTCTGTGAGTCTCTTGTTCTCTAAAGATACTTATACAATTCTTAAAGGAAAAATATCCCCTTTCCAGCTGCCATAGAGGAGGCTATTAGACATAATGATGATCCCATCCAGCAGAGCTGTTGTTCTGTTCTCCATCACAGCAGAAAAAGTCGTGCCTGTCCACAGCATTTAAGTCTCTAGAGTCTAATAGGGCAGCAGAGCGCGCTGGCTGAAAGTGTTTTTATTTCTTGGCCAAGCTTGAGTAAGAGAAATATTAACAGATCTATTTCATGCTCTGGTATTTCAATTGCCCCTTCTGGACCTAGAATGTGGAGAAGTATGTGGATAGACGAAGCAACTTATAAGGTTTCATGGCAAGAATCTTTCAAGAAAAAAAAGTGGGGGGTCATCCTGCACATTTCCTCTTGATTTCTGTGAGCAGCTTAAAGGGAGAAAGAAGAGAGATTTGTGATTTGCCTCTACCTGAGGCCAAGTGGATTTTGTGCAGTTTCCATTTTCCTGTTTCTCAAGAGTTATTCTGCACATACTGTGAGAGAAAGACGGGGATGGGAGTTAATGGTGGAATCAAATAATAAAATGTACAAAATACAGAATCAGAGAAAGCTTAAGGAAGGAGGGGAACTCTAAGGGGATTGCCTTTTGTCTTTCTGTTGGAGGGACAGCTCGTACCCAGGACTGTGATACAGACTACTGTCTAGCATGCAGGAGCTCACATGAGTTTCAGAGATTTCCCACTGGAAGCAGCCGGAACTGGAATAAACCTGGTAAAAATGCACAACGGATAGAGTAGATATCTTTAGTCTCTTAAGGCAAATAGCAATTCCAATTGATTGGATTAAAGAAGATTAGGACTGATTAGGATTAAAGAAGAATTGAAACAATACCTGTTGCAGAGGCCAAAATACACCTCTATTTCAGAAAAACAGAAGTTGAGCCTATTGCATGTTAACCATCTGTGGGAGGCTGTGGTTGAAGGAAACAGATGGTTTGTTCTAAATGTCCTTATCCCTTTACAAATACAGCATGTGGCAGTTCAGAGCCTTTAAATTTCTTTGTTGACACTTTTTTTAAGAAGAGCAAACTTAGACCAAAAGGTGAGGATACGCATATTTATTCACTGTATGAAAATGTTACTGGATTTCTGTGCAAGTTCTATTTCTGCTTATCTGTTGTGCAGGTATTTTGGACATTGATACCAGAACTTGCTACGTCAAGTCAGCAAGTAAAAACATACGATTTCATCTGGAAAGTTTTCTGCAGTAAACTAGGCAAAACTTAGCAAATTATGCTGTATTTTAGATCACTTACTACCAACTACATAGTACAGTGTTTCATATCAGATTAAACCTACAGTTTGTTTCTCTAATGATGGCCTGAACATTTGACAAGTTTTTTTGCACAGGAGATAGAAACATACAGCTCAGTAGGAAATGCGTTTTAACTCCTTGTCTTCCCCAGTCCCCAGAGAAGTAGGGTCTCAGCCCTTCAGCTAATTATTCCACAGCTGTAGTTGTTCAAATGTGTTTTAACTTGTGTTTACATTATTTTATTCCCAACAGCCTTTGCCAAGACTATTTAAGCCGCTGATTTCTGCAAACCTGATTTAGTTTAAAAAAATTAGGCATGTGTTGAACATGAAGCATACACATAGTCCCAGTGAGATACATAATAACTTTGTTTAGGGCAACAGTGCTAAGCCTACATTAAGTTTGCCTTGCTC